CGGAGCATTACTCATTTATAAGCATTAAGATCGAAGAGGGCATAGCACAGAAATGATTTCCTAACATAAAAAGAAACTTTAAGCTGCATTTGATAAGTATGTAATTCTTCTTTTGGTCATACAAAGCAGATGCGCCTGCTGCTTTACAAACCCAAACTTTCTTTTCTTGTTGTTGTAACACGCTATTGACGGTAAGAAACAAGCACACAAAAATAGACAAGAGGCAAGACACAATATAGGGTGGAGCCTTCTCTTTATTATTCTGAATAAACTTGTGATTACAATGCTGGGGTGCTCCACTATTTATACTCGGAGGAGAGGTTCTCTTTCTTTTTAGGATAGGAACTCCTTTGGTAAATTGCTCACATCTTGAACTAAGACTCGGACAGATCCTTCTAGAACTTTCTTTCTTAATCCAATAAAAACTAGTGTTATAACCCTTCTAACCCGAACTTTCTTTCCGCAAAAATAACGAAGCAACTTTTCGTTTCGTTGCGGTGGTTACGTAAGTTCTTTTCGTTCCATAGCTAAGATAGCTGCATTTCGGCATTCATCTGCTGCGATCACATATATGATAGGTTCAGTTTCATCATGGCACCATCCATTGCAGCCACCACCAACGTTTTGGCATCGCTGTAACTTGATAATACTCCCTTCGTTTTAAAATATATGCAGTTTTAGGTTTGTACACGGTAATTAAGAAGATGTGAAAAAGTTGATGGGCACAGAAAACAATGAGAAGTGAAAGAGGAGAGAGATAGAGATAGACACAGGAAACGATGTACTGGGAAGTGAGAAAGTTGCATTGGGAACCCAGAACTACTTATATTTTGGCAAAAATTTTGAATACTAGAACTACATATAATTTGAAACAGAGGGAATAACAAATATCGCCACATAGCTTTGGCCTGGACTCCACAGAGGCTAATGTCTATATGAAAAGTACATATCCATGGATGGTGGTCAAACACAGCAAACCTCTTGGGAAAAAAGGCATAATTTCATAGCTGATTTATCTTCTTTTGACGTAATGATTTATATTATTTCTCTTTAGTGTTAATACATATCCTGTGAAAGTTTTCTATACTATGAATTAAGGCATAGCTAGGGCTTGTTGATTAACACTGAGAACCATGGTACAGGACAATCTAATCACAACCAATTATCTGTGCTCTAAACACATGAAACACATCTTACTAGCGTTTTTTCTTTGCATACTAAATTGGTCGTTCTCAATTTATTCCGTTTCAGTTTATGTTGATCTTGACAAGATTGAGCTTCTAGATCATGGCCCAATTTACGAAGAGCAAATTACTTCGACAAAAGTTCCCGTCGGTCTCAAGAGTAGCAGTCCTATATGCTCAGCTTGTGAAAACTTTGCGAATGAAGCTGTCAGTTATCTCAGTGAGAGGCAAACACAAGATAAGATCATGGAATTCCTTCATGATGCTTGTTCTCAATCATTCTCCTTGGAACAGAAGGTGATCGTTTTGGACATTTTTCTGTATATAACAGTTAGTTATACATAGTAAGTTTGTCTAGAATTGTAGATATCTTATTAACTTTTGTCATGCCATTCTGGGAAGATACTCTCTAAGCAGCAAAGCTTTATAACTATCATGAACTTTTTTTTTATATCTACAGTGTGTTGAGTTAGTGGACTCCTATGCAACTTTCTTGTTTGCCAAGATTACCAAGATCAAACCAGAGGAGTTCTGCAAACAGTATGGCCTATGTATGGACGTCACTTTTCTCTCTACTGTTAAAACCGAGAGCACATGCGTATTTTGCCACCACCTCATTGATGAAGTTATGACCAAACTGAAAGATCCTGATGCAGAGGTACCTGTTTTGCTTCAACTACTGCATTCACTTACATGATCCCATCCTGAGCCTGCATATCTTCATCTAACATTTCTATGTGATATATGTAGTTTGAGGTAATTCAAATGCTTCTCAAGGAGTGCAATAAGATTGAAGGTCATGTCCAGCAGGTACACTATTTATTTCTTCTTTTCTACTCTTTTTTTTTTACCCTACAACTCAAACGAGTCAATTACTTCGGTGCAAAATAGACCATATGTAAAATTACTACAGATGCTCATATTCTGTAAAACTACTAGAGAGATGCTTATATTCTGTAAATCGTGTAGAAACCTCAACACTAGGAACGGTGTTTCTTCTTCTTCTTCAGTATTATATGATAACATGCAAGAGCGATATGATTAAGCATCCTTCCTTTCCTGCAGTGCAAGAGACTTGTTTTGCAATACATTCCTCTCATCCTTGTAAATGGTGAGAAGTTCCTCCAGAAGAATGATGTATGTGTGCTCGTACAAGCGTGTCCAGCCAGCCAAAAGAGGACAGTCATCTCGTTCTTGGAGGGGCTATTGCTGAGTGATGCATAAACAATAGAAGATTACACAAAGCGAAATTAGTGTCCAAATACATGGAAGGCGATAAATCAATCAATCACTGGTGTCTTGCTCCTACATTCTTTATTAGCCTTGATTTGTGTAAAATGGAGCGCTGTCAAGTTGATTGTATACAATGTTCGCACCATTTCAATGCCAGTCTATTAATGCCAAACCATGCCCACCTTTTGCTGCACATTGTGTTTGAATTTTTTTTTTGTGGGGGGGGGGGGGGGGGGGGGGAGGGGGGCATTTGCATAACTGGACCTCGTTTCGATCCCAATTCTGACTTTGGACATGTTTTTCAGAATTTGCAAAATCGGACCAGTTTTTCAAATCTGAAGCAATGAGTTGCCCCTATTCCGTTAGGAGGTCTTAGCGGTGTTACATCTGCTGGTAAAAGACGATAATACCCTTTGCAAAATTGGAACTGTTGTCTTTTTAACTCAAAAATTGGCTTTTGTTTTCACATAGGTTAACATGTACGTATCAAACTGATTTTTTTTGGGAGTATATCAAACTGAAATTTGGATACATTTCAATCACCATGCAGCAGAGTTTGATGAATTTGAATACATTTGATATCAATTCAAAACTGAACATAATTTTGATGAAAATTTGGCAATATTTTAATAGAAATTTGACAGCATTTTAATGAAAACTTGATAGGCTACTCAGGACACGCGCAGGGTTTTCAAAACCGGTCGGTTACCGCGATAACCGGACTTATTGGTCCGGTTCGGTTTTATCGGACGTCCGGTTATCGGTAAAAACCGAACCTATGTACTGTAGCATATTCGGTTACCGGTCGGTTTTGTCGGTAACCGGTCTGGTTTTGCCGATTTCGGTTTTTTTGAGATTTCAATCCTTGGCCACGCGTCGCATTGGCCTCCCCAGCCGCAATCCTAACCACCAGCAGGTCACCGCCGGCCACGAGCCGCCACCCCAGTCGCTAGCCCTTCCGTGCCCACAAGCCCCTGGCCCCAGGCCCACGTCGCCTCCCCAGCGACGAGCAAGTTGCTGGCCCCTGGCCCCAGGACCACGTCGCCTCGCCGGCGATGAGCAGGTCGCCGGCCGCGCGCCGCCCCCTTGTCGCCCCGCCTCCGCAGCCCCTCAACGGGCTCGCCATTCCGCGCCCTGAACCCTAGGATTAAGGTTCACCATGGCCCATGAGCCAAGCTGTCGGTTTGGTTTGTAAGGGAGGAGGAGACGGGTCTGTTCGTGAGCAGGCAGAGATGCATTCGTGCGGGAGAATGAAGAAGGGCATTAAGGTCCTTTCCTCTTTTCCCTGCATTTTTTTCTGTTTATTTCTGAAAAAGGGTCTCAACTAACAGATTTTCAAAAAAGAGGTCCAATTTTGCAAACTCTTAAAAACATGTCGGTTTTCAGAATTGGACTTGAAAAGAAGTCTAGTTTTGCAGAGCAGAGACAGAGCTTAAGCGCTACGTAAGAGGGGGCCAATCAACAAATAATTACAACTTGTATTAACATAAAAACAATGAGAACTGCTCCGGGGGAGCTCTTTTTAAAAAGTAGCATGAATCTTAAAGCATGGCCTAATTAATAAACTTTTTTTATTTTCCTAATCCCTGGACCCGCCCAGCCCAGGACCGACCCAACCAGCCCGAGCCGGCAAAATCGGATCGAAACAAAACAGAATGGCGTCGTCGGCGCTCCCCCTCTGTGCGCCGCCTTCTCCGTTCCTAGCAGTCGTACCTACGTCATTCCTTCTCCTCCTCCTATCCTCTCTTCTTCCTGCTCCACCCATCCCTGCTAAGTCCGATCGAGGAAGGGAGCATTCATGAAGGCGAAGAGAGGATAGGCGCCGTGCGAGATCGGCGTCACTTGAGTTGCTCCTGCCTATCTCATGTTGTCACTTGTTCCTGCCTATCTGCAGCGTGGCCTGCGAGAAGATGAAGATGAAGGCACGACTGGGCAGGGGGCAAGCCGACGCGGGCGCCGTTCCAGGTGCAGAGGGTGCAACTCGATCGATCGTTCCATGTCCAATTGTCCATCACCTACGGGCTACGGCGGCCGCGCAACTGGTAGGCGGTGCCGGTACGTACGGTACGTAGGTGGTGGCAAAGCTTCGTTGCTGTAGCTCCGCCGTGCGGCTGCAGGGCGGACGACGTGCGGCACGGCAGGGGGAGCACGGCGTGGCGCCGCACGGCTGGGCGACGGCGTTGTGCCGCTGCCGAGAGGAGTCCGGGGGATTGGACAGCAGATGCCCGGCGCCGAGCCTCGATTGGGAGAGAGAATCCCGGCGCCGTGGTTGCGAGCCTTCGCTCGGCTCCCGGACGTCCGCGCGTCGCTGCCTCGCCCAGATGCGGACCAACAGGGGATGGGGCGGCTGAATCGTGCACGGTAGCGGCTGTGGTAGGGTACGCTCAACACGGCTTGGGGGCGGACGGCTTGGGCGCGGACGGCTGAGGGGAGCAGGTCTCCGGCGGCGGCGTCCGGTCGCACGAACGCGCCGAGCAGAGGACTCGCACGAAAGCGCCCAGAAGACAAGTCCCAGATGTGCGGGATTATTTCGTTGAAATACAGAGTTAACAATTTATAAAAAATTCTAACTTCCATGTATTGGCGTTCGTAGCTGGATTGGTAAGGCTTCAGCCTTTCAAGCACCCGGTCATGGGTTCAATTCCTTGCAAGTGCATACAGAAACAGATGTTAGATCAGCTTCAGCAGTCTCCCAATAACTCCCTCCCAATAACCTCACACGTGGGGTGAGGTCATTTTTCTCCTATTCTCTCTTTCCTCTCACTTACGAATGGGCCCCACCTAATCCTCCCCTCACCACCGGTCCCTCCCGCTCCCTCGCCATGGCCGCCGCGACGCAGGCTACCAAGAGTGCCGCCATGGCAAACACCGCATCCCCATGACTCGAATCGTCGTCTTTGCGGCCGGAGGAGGGACGGGAAGGCGACGCGCGCGCGAAGCCGTGCGGGAGAAGGAGGAAGGCTACGCGCGCAGCGGGGAAAATGGTGGGGCCTGCCAGAAAATGGGATTGGAAGGGGGAGGAGAAGCTCCCACTATAGTAGGAGGGAATGGCTGTTTTTTGGGAAGGGAGCAAAAATGGGAAGGTTTTTGGGAGACTGCTGGAGCAAGTTTTGCATCCCCAAACTCCCAATAAAACAACTTTTTTGATATTAGGAGGGCTATTGGGAGACTGCTGGAGTTGCTCTTACATTGGGTCGCATGGAGGAGGGGACGGCCTATCTGTACCGCGTCCCCTTGAGGAGTGGGATGAAATTAGCCCATTGCTGATGGGTGTTTCTTTTTTAAATTTCGTTTTTCATTTAAACTAATTCTGAAATTAGTCCACGGCTGATAACTTTTTATTTAAAAAACTTATTTTCGACTTAAACTAATCTTTCAAAATATAGTAGCAATGGACCCACAATTCCAACAGTTAAATAAACTTAGCGACAAAAAATCATAGTACGACTGTCACACTTAGTTAGCCTCACATGAAAAATAAAATTTCGTCACAATATAGTTTTGGCTAGGTTTACGATGATTTATAAATAGTTTTTATGACGCACATTCAATTTTTGTTACTAAATTCATTGAATCTATATGAATCGTCATAAAACATGATGCCCTAGTGACGATTTGGTCATTCGTCACGCTATAATCGTCATAGAAGTCTATATTTTACAATTCGATTCTAACATATACATGGGCATGTCATCATGACGTCTCCGGCCCAGTCTCCTTCGTGAACGCGTGAGGCTGACGCTGGACTAATCTGCACGCCGACCTTTGCGAATTCCATGTATACAAATTCTCGCCTATATAAATAGTAGAACCGGCCTGCGATGGGATCAGAGCAGGGTTTCTCTTTTCGTCCGTCAACAATGACCAACACCAGCGCTGCCACGACGACGCCCTCTGCTGCACCGCCGTCGATGAAGCTGCTCATCGACACGGCGTCCCAGCGCATCGTCTTCGCGGAGGCCGGCAAGGACGTCGTCGACTTCATCTTCGGCCTCCTCGCCATGCCGCTGGGCGCCGTGGACAGGCTGCTCGCCGGGGACGGCGCGCTCGGCAGCATCGCCAACGTCTACGCCAGCGTCGAGAAGATGGACGCCGCGCACTTGCAGAGCGCGCAGGCCCGGGACCTGCTGCTCGTGGACCTGCCGGCGCCAGAGCAATCCTCCCGCAGCTGCACATGCGCCGCCGCCCAGGACCTTGTGACGTCTCCTACGTCGCCGATGTTCACGCTGCCGTCGGCGCCCCGTCACCAGCCGCAATTCAGGAATTTCACGTTCTCGCGACGAGCAGATGATCCAAATCACGCGCTGCCGATGTTTCTCTACCGCTGTGCCACCTGCCTCTCGTCGCCTTACCTCCAGGGCGGCAGAGGCTTGGTGCAGGGCGTGTCCACGTACACCGTCATGGACGACCTCATCGTCACGCCGGCGTCCAGCGTCTCGAGCGTCGCGTTGCTGAAGAAGCTTGGTTTCAAGGACCTCGACAAGGTCGAGGAGAGGACGGTCAACATCGGCCGCAATGAGGTGAAGATCGACGATTGCATAATAGTCTCTCTCTTTTTTTTTCCGAGAGGAGTTTGTCATCTGGATTCTAACCTTTGCTAAATATGCATCGACGCTTGCAGGCTTTGGGGATTCTCAAGGCGGCGCTTCATTCCAAAACCGTGCTGACAGATGCATTACTGGCCAACAAGAAGAACTGATGAAGAGGGCGCACATATCACAGCTGCGAACGCGGATTTTCTAAGAACCCACCGAAGATACGGACCCTTGAAAAGGCGACACCTGTCTCAAGCCCAATCCAGCTTGGCTTTGTTAGCACGCACTTCGTGTCCTGCGTTGTAAGCTGAAGTAGACCAGCACCAGCAGCGTGGGAACAAAGGAATAAAACATAGTCTCTCCGTTCTAGAATATAAGCATTTTGAGTTTGGTCAAAGTTAACATCCTTAAATTTGACTACTAATATCTATAAAATAAAATATTTTAAATATGAAGAGTTACATATTATGAAAATTGGTTTCATGATGAATCTAACAACATCATTTGTACTTAATCAACGTTCTTAATTATTTTGTTATTGATATTCAAAGTTGAAAAGAATTGACTTTGACCAAAGCTACAAATGCTTACATTTTAGGACAGAGGTAGTAGCAGTTTAAGTTGTCAGCTTCTGGCCTGCTGCAGCTTTGATCGGCTGGGCTCACCCATACAGTGCATGGCATCAAACTTTTCAGCTTATATTTTTGTTATCTACTATAATTTGTGTGCATTGGAGTAGTATGATCTTGACCGGCCATTCTCTTCAAAACAAACAAAGGAACGATAGATAGAAACAAAAATAGTACTATTACATATGTGTACAGTATGATCATTAATTTATTTTTGAGAAAGTTCTATGTAATTTCGACGCACCTTTTTTTAGAAACCAAAATAATATAGACTAAACCGTCATTCTGAAGACTAAACTTGTAACTCTAAAGACTAAACCGTCAAGAAACAAAAGGTTAAACTGTTTCTGGTAAACCCAATGAGGCTGAAGCAGAAAACAAAAAGGCTAATCCGTCGTTCTCGAGATGTAAACTGTAGAAGATAAATCGTACAAGGAAAATCATAAACCTGGAAGGCTAACCCGTAACTTTAAATGCTAAACCGTTAACCTTAAAGGCTAAACCGTCGTTCTTAAGGCTAAACTTGGAAAGGCTAACCTGTAACCCTCATTTTTTTGCAAAAAGGCTAAACCGTCGTTCTTAATGCTAAACGCGGGAAGACTAAACCTGTAACCCTAGTTGTTTTGAAAAAAGGCTAAACCGTCGTTATTAAGGCTAAACCCAAGAAAACTAAACTTGTAACCCTGAAGGCTAAACCATCAAGTTACGAAGCTTAAACTGTTTGTAGTAAACCAAGTGAGGCCGAAGCAAAACCAGAAAAGATAATCCGTACCATAGAGGCTAAACCGTAAACCCTAAAAGCTAAACCGTCATTCTTGAGGCTAAACCTGACAAGGCTAAACCATCAAGAAAAAAAGGTAAAATTGTTTGTGATAAATCTAGTGAGGCTAATGCAAAAACCAAAGAGGCTAATCCTTCGTTCTCGAAACGTAAACTGTAGAAGTTGAACCGTACAAGAAAAGTCATAAATCCTAAAGGGTAATCCATAACTTCAAATGCTAAATTGTCAACCCTAAAGGCTAAACATCGTTCTTAAGGCTAAACCCGGGAAGACTAAATCTGTAACCATGAAAACTAAATAAAACTATGTGTGTGACATGTGGGACTTATATATAGTGAAAACTAATTTTATCAAAATATAGACAAATGGGGTCTCATTTTATAGGTTTAATTATAAAGAATATTTTGGTGTAGACGGTTTTAAATCCGATTCATGGTTTATGATATATGTTCATTTGAAAGTAGCTCAGCCTTAATTTTTTTGGCTGCGTGCAACCTCTTGACTGCATGAAATGTGCACGCCACCGAAGGAGCAGGACAACATGGAGCTTTGAAAAAGCAAGCACCCTCAAATCCACCGTGTCACAATTTTAGCTCCTAACCTATGCACCCAATCCGCACAAGTCCTACTGGCACATCTGAGCAGCCCGAATCTTGGCACATGGCCTGCAGAGATGTGCGGCGCCGATCAGGGTCCGTACTTCACGACGTTCTTAGAAATGCATTTTCGCCTGATCTGCAAGGGGCCTCCGTTCAGACTATACATTGCAATTCGTATTGTGCAATATGAGACAGATGCATTGTGGCAGAAGTTAATTAAAGTTGAGTTGGCCATACTTTGTTAATTTACAATTTCATAGGATTTCAAGCTTTTAATTGCCAATTTCCGTGAGTACGTACAAAATGTGGTATCATCGGTACGTAGCGAAAAAATAAAATAAAACTAAATATAGTTCCAAACAAATAGAGCTATAATCTAGGGACCCAACAACTAATAATTACATATTTCCTCTATATTTGCACAAACGCTGCATTCACATCCATATACTTGAGCAAAACTTGTTTCATTACCCTTTTTGCTCTCAAACGAAACAACTAAAGATAGTGTATGGGAAACGCCACCACCCCTAAGGTGTTGAGGAAAGGGTCATAGTCCAAAGTTAGTAGAGGGAGGAATCCCTACCCCCACAACATTTTGGCTTATGTGGCCACCTTCCAAGTGGCGACACATAACCCAAATAGCATTTTGACATACATGGTTATTTTTTGGTGGCGACACATCAACCCAAATAGCTTTTTTTTCAAATTAGGAGAGGTGCGGTAGACTTTCCCGATTGAAGGCTGGCTTATTAAATGAGGGCTAAATACCAATACATGTTTATATAGACAACAATTGTAACGAGTCTAATGAGCTTGGAGTGATGAGACCTAGGTAGTCTCCCTAAAACCTTAGGGGCAAATATGTCATTTACCACATCCCCTCTATTTATAAAGGAGCCCCAAGAGGGTAGGGGTTTGGATAGGCCCATTAACTCTAAAAAAAATATCTCTTTCTAAGCTCTCAACTTTGTTCCTGTTCTCTCCCCCATTATCTTCAAACTTGTGCTCTCTTGTGTGGAGGCCTCATTTCTTTGTTCTGGCATTTTTTCGATGCCTTAATAGATAGGTTAAAGCACTTGGAATTCTTTTACATTTTCCTCAAATACGTTTTT